GCGTCATGGCTCACGGCGCACCTACGACGCCATGTTCATGGCGAGGCGCATGTGTTTAAAATAGCGCGCGCTATTTGCGCCACATGTGAGCCATGGCGCATTGCGCACGGCGCAAAATAGCGCGCCAAATTATTTTTAAATTTTCGTATACTTATGAATATTTTTTATATTTAAAAATATATCTATATTTTAAGATAAACGACTATTCATTGCCCTAATTTCACGAAAGATTATCTTGTTGCCTGCAAATCGTCTCGAAACAATCCCGCATCCCATCGGAACTCGGTGATCTATCCCGAAGTCGAGAGTTTTTTTTTTTAACTATTTGGTCTGCAGTCTCGCTACTTGCCCGAAATCTGCTTGAGATTCTCCGCAAGAGATTTTGAAGTCGTTGTGTTGCCCGCAATAGTCCCGAGCTAGTGCTTCTGCAATCCCCCCATCCTTCGTCTGTAGCCAATAAAAAATACTACCATATGACTGATTTGCAACCTCCGTCTGTTCACACAGCTCTGTGTTTTGCACGCGTGAGATCTCTTTGGCCTATTCTACAAGAATTACAACTTAACATTATGCTCGGTACCGTGGTCCATGCCGGTACTCGCAAGTAATGCTCCGGGTACGCTTGTAATGTTGGATTACTCGGCTCGGGAACCGGTTACATCCTGACCGCTCGGTACTCCCAGCATGTACAATCTCGGCCTCAACTATTACATCTTTTAAACTAGGTAACGTCAGTTCATGCTGTATGTAAGTACATGCCATGATACCGCTCGGACTGCTATAAATTTGCTCGAGTACCGCTCGTGTTACCATTAGTTAAATGCTATGTACTGCTCGGTACAGATGGTACAAATAACCTCGTCCGTTCCTAATTTTCATACAAACGAACTTCAAATTTCTCTTACAACAGGTCGACCCGCCAGGCGGCAGCGCCCCTGGACCCCGGCAGCCATTTCAATTTTCCTGATAATATTATGTTTCTTTTTCTAAATTTTATCTGCTTTTTAGGATCATAAAAATGTCAGATTCAAGTTCAATCTTAAAAAAATGCATCACATGGAAATTGCTATACCACATGCCGACAACAATAGGTGACATCATTTTTTATGGTAAAATATAAAAGGAGGAATTAACCCCACACAACACACTCGTTGGGGTTTAGGCAATGCAAGTCCTTGCTCTATGTAACCGAGAGTAGTCGAAATTAAGGCCTCCCTGTTGAAAAAAATATTTAAAGGAACAGTTAATGCATTTAAAGGAACTATAGATGTAGTAGCAAGAAAGCAGTTTAAATAGAAATGGATTACTAAAAAGAAATAGGGGAAGGGCTTTTCAAGTGTTCAGTAAATGGATGTCGATGCTGGGATCATTTAATGCGTGACTAGATAGTTTTCTGCTATGGTGGAGGCACTTGGGCATAGCCTTATGAATCTAGTATCATGAGTACGAGTTACGTGTTTGAAGAAGAGGTGACATGACACATGAGATTATTGCACGCCTATAAGAAAGTGTACGATACGGTTGTTTCTCCATGGCAGATGGATGGATGTCAGGAATGGAAAGCTTAACCAATTCTTGTTATTTGTCCAACGGGTAGTCATTATAAGAACATTGACTGCTGAGTGTTCTTATCTCCATGAATGTGGAAATGTTGAATCTTTTTTGTCAAGTATATCGAGGTTTTTGACCTATAAGTGGATCAGTAGTTACTGAGTAATGCATCCGAAAAGTTCTTGGGCAGGTTGTCACAAATTTTATTCTAAAAGTTATGTTATTTATGAAAGAATTTGCGTGTACATCTTACACCTAAATTAATAATGCCATAATAAGAACAATTTATTGATGGACAAATATCCTCACATTTATTGAACCTCTTGTGTGCTGCCACTGTTGGATTATTATATTGGATTGATATTTTTAAATTCTAAAAGCATAAGGCTGATCTTTGAAAAGAGCTGGCAGTACATAGTTTAATATATTCTAGGCCTCGCTTACTTGAGTTAACTGAGAAGGTGCACAAATCAAAAGCACCTTGTCAAACCTGAAAGACTCGCTTTGCACAAGCTTTCTAACTTTATCAAGTTTCATCAACAACAACTGAACTTTGAAGAAATCGTTTACTTGTGAGGAATTTATCTTAGGTCCTTTAATGCTGAAAGAGCTAAAGCAAAAACAATCTCAACATACAATTCTTACAGGCAATCTTTTGGAACACTATAGTGGTATGCCTTAAAATAGCTGGTCCTTTATTAAAGGTTCTTAGATTGGTTATATGGAGATAATGAAGCCCCCATGCTTACATATGATAAGCACATTGATAGAGCAGAAGAGAGCATTGCGCAAGCTTCAATAACAGTGATAAGTATGATCAAATTTTTAAATGATTGATTAGAAGATGGGAAGTGCAATCTACATCGCCATACATCACGCGGGCCTTTTTACAATCTGAATATTTCTTCAATAAGCCCTGATATTCGCCAAGCGATAAGGAAATAGCTGATCGGTCTTTTCAATGTATGAAGATTATCCTCAAGATGTAGCTGACAGAAGACAAAATCAGTAACTGCAATTACTTCAAAACATTAGGGGGTGAGGACTTTTGGTATTCCTGCCTAGTCTGTATAGACAAAGAACTACCGACATCTCCAGGTATTCATTATTTACAAAAAAATTAAGACTGATTTGTTATACTATATTGAAAAAAAAATTTTTCTTCCAGTGATGGTGTTGACATATGGACATAGGACCTCCCAATTTTACAAAGCTTTGCTAACAGTCCTAAGTTTATACATGTAGTTCATTCTGGATGCGAACGCAATTGGAGGGTTTGTTGAACAAGTATTATAATTTATGTGTTATTTTTTATATATTTCATATATAGTAATGTAAATAGATATTTAATGTAGCTTCATAGCAAAACGAAGGCAAATTGGATCCTGGTCGCTTAAAGATTTAGTTATTGAATATAATAGAGCACTGAATCCAATATCATCAGTCAATGTCATTGATCCCTATTCTTTGACTAGATAGATGATGCAAATGAAATAGCCAAACAGGAAAATTAGATGAGTCTGATGAAGAAAGACTTTAATTGATGGAGAGGAAGATTAACTTGGGAAAGTGTTGCTAAGCACTGGTGTTTATGTAAAAGTTATAATTTCGGAAAAGATCTAAGAGAATAGAGAAAGAATCTTCAATTAGGCATGATGTTGCTATTGAGGAATGATGATGAGTGAGTGGGATGAAAAGGATTATGATAGTAGAGACAATGTTGAAAAGATAATGAAGCTTTTTAACATTTGCTGATGATGAATGATTGCCAAGAAGAGTATTATTAAATTCATATTTGATTCTTTTAAAAAAAATTGTAATAATTGAATATTAGAGATATTGATGTTACTAGTCAACTTATATTTGCTTTGTTGTCTTTATATATAAGCTTGTCTTTCATTTTTAATAATATTTTATATTCATGCTTATTATTTTATATTTTTTATATAGCTTGCGCCATGTTCAAAATAGCGTGAGTCGCGCAGTGCGCTATGCGCCATGGCTCCAAATGGACCTTTGCGCCATGGTGCGCCATTCGCCGTTAACAGGTATGATCAGCATATGCACCATCCCACACTTCAAAACTACAACAACCTTAAACGCCTGCTTCGGTATATTAAAGGCACACAACACTACGGTCTACCATTTCTCAAAGGAGATCTTCATCTCCACACATTTGTAGACGCTGACTGGGCAGCTGATCGCACCGACCGTAAGTCCATCACCGGCTTCTGCTCCTTCCTTGGACCAAATCTAATTTCCTGGCAAGTGAAGAAACAGGTAACCGTCTCCAAATCATCCACCGAAGCAGAGTATCGAGCCTTATCTTCAGCCAACTCAGATGTAATCTGGCTTTGGCGTCTACTTGCCGAACTTCGCACACCCCAGCTACAACCAATGGAAATACACTGTGACAACACCTCTGCACTTGCGCTGGTCAGTAACACTGTCTTTCATGCTCGCACCAAACACATCGAATTAATCGACTATCATTTCATCAGCGAGCACATCAAGAACATGGCCGTCACTCTACATCACGTCGACTCTGCCAACCAGCCTGCTGACATCCTCACCAAAGCTCTCTCACCCGCTCGCTTTCAGCAGCTTCGCACCAATCTGACCGTCACAGCAGCAGACGTTCCGATTGCGGGGGGCTGATAGCACACTCAACTCACCGAGTCGACTCAGCCATGTGACCCAACAGTCTCTGCTTCAGCCATTCTCCACTTCCTACTGCCACCGCAGTCTATCACTAACAACCTCAACAGACAATCATAACATCCTCTCTTCCATCTATAAAACAAAGCCTTGTAACAGTGAAACTTAAGCTTTTTAATGAAACAGCGTTTCCCTGCTATTCTCATTCTGCTTATTCTTCTCTTCTGAGATTGCTCTGCAGGTTTCTCTTCTCTTATTAAAACATCATGCATGTAAAAATGTTAAGGAATTAAATTTTCTAAGTTTTGCATACTCTTCTTGTTTGTGACAACAGCTTATGCTTTATTCTTATTTCTTTTGTGACAACTCTTTGATTTATAGTTTTGAAGAATTTAAGGGTGTCAATTATTGAACCCGACCTGGAAAATCTAGGTAAGGGTTGACCTGATTAACAAACAGGTCGGGTTCTAGTTCTGAATGTTGACCCGTTTAAAAAATCGGATCAAGTCTCGGTCAACCTGCTAACCCGATATTGACTCGTCCTTGACTTGGTCAGTCTCCCGACTTGTAGTTCTCCCCCGCGCAGGTGGCATGCCCTCACTAGACTCGCACGCGACAGTGCAACACGCACTCGCGCAGTCAGCCCTCGCTAGCCTCGCACACTGGTTGCGCTGCACAATAGCACTTGCGTGATCCACCCTCGTGGGGTTTGTTCTCGCCGATTGATCCGGACTCGAGCGCGGGTCAATCTGGTAACCTGGTGGGTCGGATTTGAGTTCAAATTTTTTACCAGTTTATAAAACCGAGTCGAGTTCAGGACAGATAAATTGGACTCGGGCCAATTCCAGGTTCGATCCAAACCCGACCTGAACACCCGTTTTGACACTCTAGAAGAACGTTAACTTTTTACCTTATCACACGAGAGCGACTCTTTGATAACAGATTGAGGACGAAGCTTCATTGAGCAAGTCTAGTGTGGCTCTTCAATTGTGAGCAACTCTGCTTTTGTGTATGTAGGTGACGGAATGCAAGGCATGTTAGAGGAAAGAGAGTAGAAATTTGCATAATGATGATAGATTGGGGTGAGAATCCGTAAATTAATGGTTGATGCGACTTGAGCCTCAAAATTCGGCACTTCGTTTTCTCTAGAAATACCCCTTACCTTCTAGGGAGGGACACTTTCTTTCTATTTATCCTTCAACGCTTCCTCCTCCCAATACTCTTCTAGCTCTTGGCTGGCAGCCTGGCACAAGTTTTCCTATTTGAGATGGTGACCTTGAGGAGGTGCTACAAGGCATTTACTGAGTTGGAGTATTATCAAGTCTCACTGGCATCAAAGATGTTTGCATATATCATTCTCTTCGATTACTGTTATAAAGATGCCAACATGGTGGTTCGAGTGTCCACTGAGGATGAGCACATCAACACATTCTATGTGAAAGAGTTGTGCATCCTCTACGACCACTTCAGACTTAGCGTGCGACTCAAACTCTACTCGGAGCTTGCTAAGATCCTCAACAACCATGGGTTCATGTTGGCACAGATCATGCCAAACTTGGTAACTTGGTGGTTGAGAATTCCCTGCACGTTTTATCTTGCATCTATGACGAGAGAGGATCAAGGGAATCCTTACTTTTAAAAAAAAAAAAAAGTTTAATGCACATATCTATTAGCTAAGTTCCTGCAAGATCTGAATGCACCTGTAATGATTCTTGCACAGACTTGTAAGGAACGCCCCCCATTCTTGTAAGAAGGTTCCGGCTATTATTGATCTACCCCGTGGAACTCCCCATGACATGCAGATTGAAATTATTGCAACGGTAGAGTCCATGGAATCAGGATCCAGCCATTGAGTGCATTTCAAATCACCGTTGGTGTTGCAGGAACTGTTAACATGATTGTCCTTGTTCCTAAATATTAGAACCACAGAATATAAAATAATTATTTCTCTAAATAATGTATGTACGGTTCAATGAGGTGTAAGCATGTGATTAGCTCATTAGCTTCTTGTTCTTGATTCCGTACCTATCTGGGTCTATTTAAGCAGCTGTCAGGACACCATGTATTATTCATTGGAAATTAATCTCATTTGATTCTCTCTCTTTCCTGCTTTACGTTTCTCTCTTATTTAGCCATTGGCTTCTTCACTAAAAACTTTAATTTAAGGTACTAGATTTTGGATATAAATGTGGGCGCAGGATTGTTGTGAGTCGACTATGTCCTACTAAATTTATTACACAAGATGGAAGGAGGGTAACACAAGCTCTTAGTAAGTGATAATTGTCTTGTTTTTGCATTTTAGGTTTTATATGGTGCTGCTCTTATTTCTACTTGTTTTAGACTAAATGAGTGCTAGATTGTGCTTTGTTAAGTTCATTTAGGACTAATCTGCTTGATATAAGTGCTTGTAAGTTGTTGGAGTAAGTTCTGGAAGCGAGCTTTACTAAAGTTAGTTTTTTTAGTGTTTGTTTTATATGAATTCACTTTTAGCAATCTTCATTTTATTGTTTGTTCAAACTACATTGAGTTATATTTTCACCCATCATCTCAATAATTTTACATTAGTTTGTCATTATTATCCATAAAAGTAATGTCGTAACCCATCTTCCTTTTTGATCTTTTGTATTTATCATTATTTTATGCAAAGTGCAAAAATGAAAGTGAATTATAAAGCCTCATGAGTGAAACTCATTTTTCATCTTTATGCAGCCTTCATGTAATAGGACCACATTATCATTGGCTTTCTATCGAAAAAACACTTGAACTTGGTCTTGAAACTAAGTTCTAGTTGCTTTGAAGCAGAAATAAACTTGCCCTTATTGGGTAGATTAAGGTTTTGTTTGGGATGGCTTTCTTGCTACTTCTTAATGTGACTTTTTAGTACAAAAATTTTAATTTTTATACTAAAAAGTCGCTTTAAGAAGCAGGAAGAAATCCGTCCCAAACGAAGCCTAAATACATACATCAGGCATGAAATATGCAAGCAATGTGAGTTTCTAGTTCTGTATCTGAGTTGCATCTGAAGTTCTGTAGTATTGTTGTTAATGATCCTGTAGCATATGTTTATCAGTCAATTGTTTTAACCAAAATATGCGAGAAGCATATTTACTGAATGAATGTTAAATTTGACCTTGTCAATATGTAGAAACAATCCATAGAATCATGTTTTCAGTTTTTTTTTTTTTTTTTTTTGTGAATATTAATTTGTTCTGTTATATAACAGTGAAATGGAGGGTTGCATGCATGCACTTTAAATTATCTGCTCAGAAGAAACTCCCAAATGTAGTTCTCCCTTTTATCTTTTAGCCTTGATGGTATAGTCAACCGTCCAACTTGAACCTGTAGGTCTGTGGCTGTTGCCAAAATAAAATCTCTCGGCCAGCAAGCTGTATCGAGTTCTGTCACTGGAATGTCTTTGTTCAAATGTCTTGTAAGTTTTATGTGTACATATGAGATAATACTTAATAGTGATGTCAATGTCATCCTGCTAAAGGAGCTTGATCCTTTTGATGTAATGTTTGAAATTGATGCTCAGTCAAAATAATGTTGATGCTAAGATGCCTGTTTAAGTGATATTACTAGATGAATTAATATGTTTATCTGTTGCATGTTTCCAATGTTAAGAGCATCATGATATGTGTGCCACATAGAAAGTTCTTAAGATTTAAAGGAACATCATTTGGAAAATTTGTCAATTGACATTGGTGATCAAGTGAGAACTAGGACTTCAGCTCCTTTTTTTATGTTACACTTATGGAGAATGGCTATAAATTGTGGGGTGAATGGACATTAATAAGATTTTGATGTTGAGACCAAAACAACAATGTGTTTGATGTCATTTTGAACAACCGCTTCAGAATTTGTCACCGGAACTAAATATGATGCGCGTAATATTGTTGTGCTATGAGTGTGATGAACCACCTGGACCCATGAGGGTCTACGGGCGGACAAGGAGGAGGCGGGCGAACCCGCCTAGAGCCATGGAAAGTTTCGGTGGGCCCCTTAGGCCCACCCATTTGGATCGGACGGCTCACAAGGGGAAGGGGGGCGCGGAATAGTGAGGAGGGTGGGATGGAGTGATTTGGTAGGGGTTTTGGGATGATATTAGGGAGCCATTAGGGTTTAGGGGTTTTATGCTTTTGGAGGCTTACTCTTAGTTTTTCTTCTTGTTTTCTCTAGAGCTTTTGTGGGAGATCTTGTCCTTCTCGAAGTGGACAAATTTTTATCTTGCTTTCCCTTGGATCTTAAATGCAAAAGTTATTGCTCTTCATCTCATTTCATTTGTGATTGTTTCTCTTTGGTTTTGGTGAAGATATCCTTCTCTTTTGAGGACATTAGGGCAAAAACGAATTTGTGCAACCCTAAAGCGTATCAATTTGGTATCAGAGCTCTCGATCCTAGACGGCATGTCATCAAAGAAGGTAGAAGTTTTGGAGGGAGAGATGGGCTAATTGAAAGAGGAAGTGGGTGAGAAACTTTCTTCGTTGGAGGGAAAATTCTCAACCCTAGAGGAGAGATTTGGGGGAATGGAAGAGATGATCCGGAAATTGTTAGAAGCCCAAGTTGCTCCATCAAATCCTAAGGAAAAAGGGAAATCTCCGGTGACGAACCCTAACCCTAACCCTAACCCTAATGCGCCGCTGGTTGATGGTGAAGGTGGAAGTAGGGTTCGTGAGGGACCTAATGCAAAAGGGAAGGAGGCCATTGACATTATCGACC